CTATATTATGTTACTCGTAATTTTGCTAGTTTCGTATCTTTATTTCCTTTTTCCGCAAATTGTTAGACTTATCTAGTCGTAGAGACTACGTGCCGTCACGACAGTTTACGGAGGAAGAACTTGGGTCGTAACAATTTATTTCGGGAAAGAGCGCAAACTATATATATAGCCATTATGTAGGTAACAGAGGAGGCAAAATAGACGGAGCAACGTGTGTATGGGTGGCATTTCTTGTTTTTATATTACTCCTTTTGGTAATAAATGGAGATTTTGTATCATGTTTGCGACCCTATTGTTTTTTTTTTAATTCTGGCTTGGTATTTGATATTTATATTTGTGTTCAACTAAAGTTAGATTCGCACCGAAAATTTTCATACCGAGACTAAAGTGCTTCCTAACTAATATTAAACTGATACAGATACACTTAATCTTGTTAGCCAAAATATTGAGAAAAGCATTATTAAGGGTGTGTTTGGTATGAAGAAAAATATTTTCCGGAAAATATTTTCCAATGGAAAATATTTTCCTTATGAACTCATCCTTATGAAGAGAAGGGAAAACATTTTCCAAAATTCTTCTCAACCTTCCCCACCCTCGCCAACCCACCTCACCCCCTCTCTCCAAAAGGTTTTTTTTGTGCAAATTTCAATTTTTTCGTTACCACCCACCCTACTACCCCTCCACCCTACCCCACCCCCACCCCACCCCACCCCCTCCCTAAAAAAATTATTTTTTTTACCTTTTTTTTTATTATTTTTTTTTTTTTTGCAATTTCAAATTGCTGTTTTTTCATTTTTCTGCCCCACCCACCACCCACCCCAACCCCCCTCACCTGCCCCCCCTCCCCCCTTTATCTGTTTAAAGGTTCAAAATTTTACAAGTTCCAAAATTATGAGTTCAGAGGTTTATGTGTTTGGAAGTTTACGAGTTTAGAAATTATAAAGTTTACGGGTTCGAAATTTCGCGGTTTTTAAAGTTTAGCGGTTCGAAAGTTTATGAAATTTGTGGGTTCGGAAGGTTGTTGGTTTGAAAGTTTATGGCTTCATGTGTATTATATCTAAATTATTTATGAATACTCTTGAGAAGTCATTTTCCTTAATTTGCGTATCAAAAACCGGAAAAATGAATAAAATTACTACTTGTTTTCCAAGAAAACATTTTCTTGGAAAACATTTTCCTTCATACCAAACACACCCTAAGAGATAAATTTCTCTTGAGACAATCACATGTTAATTTGAAGTTCAACATAATTAATAATTATAGGTGCTTCTAAAATTTAAAGGTAATAAAAGTGCGACTTCAGTACATGTAATTTGACAAAATAACAAATACATAGGAAGTTTTTTTTTCTTTAATTAGTAAATTTCATTTGACATTTTTTATGAAAATAAATTTTTATAAAGTACATACCCGCTGTCCTTGATAATATATTTTGTAGAGAGAGAGATTAGCATACACACATCCATTTCCCCTTTTAATAATCATAATCAACACTAATTGGGCAGATTAATCCTAATCATAATTCATAATTAATGGTATAGCTAAACGCAATACAAGTTCTCTTAATAAAATATTATATCTCAAACTGCCTATTTTCTTTCAGCTTACGTTTTAGCTTAAAATGAAAAAAAGAAAAAAAAATAACAGGGAACTGTCCTTAATTAAAAAGGATATTACATGTTAAGTCAAGAAACAATAATAAGCAAAAGAAAATACACGTATCTTTTATACTTCAAATTATTGCTAATATATCTCATTTGAAAATTAAGAGAGATAATAAGATTGTATTAAATAGTAGGCTCAAAATTTTAGAAATTTCAAATCATTGAACTCCATGATTGCAGAGTTGTCAACTCAAAGCAACTAATTAACTCTAATAATATTATAGAAATTGCTTATAATGCCTACTGGGATTAATTAAACTTAAGTACGCTCTAAGCATTAGTTAAGTAACACAATCTCATCTCATCTTCTTATAATCACAGTGTTCGGATCAACTTGTGAGTATCTCTACTAATTACACGAGGTAACTGTTACCTCCCACCAACACATGTACCGAATAACATCCGTCAAGACTTTAACAAATGATAATAAATTACCTAATATCTTTGCCACCGCTGGAATTTAACCCGAAACCTCGTGATTTTTAATCCTATTTTTTTTTTTTAAAAGTAATATGAGTGTTTTGTCTCTATCCTGTTTTAAAGTGAGGTACTAGGGTAGAATTAACTTAGTTTAGGTCAATAACTATACACCAATTGATTAAAGTAGTCCCAACTTTATTCTTTTGACCCATTCTCCTGACCAATGTGACATTAAACAAGACAGGACATAGACATTTTTGTAATGTCATCTCTACAAACATTTTCTGAATTTATTTCCAAAAAGGACATATATTGTCAACTAGGTTGCTGCAAGTGTCAGGCCATGACTCTAAACGTCATTTTAAGTTTCATTTTTCTCTCAAAGTAGAGGTACAATATAGGAATTTTAATAACAATAATAACCAGTTAACTTCCATGCACCTCGACTAATTCTATGGAGTACTTGTTACCTTTCACCGGTATTCACACCAGCACAAGTTACAATTAATTTGGTCCACCAAAACTTAGATAAATGAAAAAAAATCACTTAGGAGTAATATTGTTGCCTTTATTGGAATTTAAACATAACACTTTATGATTCTCAATTCACTTTATTGACAACTGGGTCACACTCTTGAATTTATATACTCTATGTTAATATTTATTATAGTCATTAGATTTATATTTTTTATTAATTTTTTAATAATTTGTTATCACTTGTATATCTTCAAGAAACTATGTTAGAATTATAATTTAATTTGCAAATGAAGTAATTAAATTTTAGTTAGAACTAATTATGAATGTGTGTCTTTGGATGTAAGGGACTTGGGGACAATGGAATAGACACCATAGAGATTATTTGTGATTTTTTGCTGAAATTGAAAGAAAAACTTAATGCTAATAAATATGACAAAGAGCAAAGAGGATCAAGAACTTTGTAATAAAAAGTCTGCCCAAAACTCTTCTAGTGGGGTTTGATTTTTTTAAATCGACAAGAACAACTAACCCAGTTTGATCCCAATATGTGGGGTCTGGGGAGGGTAGTCTGTACGCAGACCTTATCCCTACCTAATGCAGGTAGAGCAGCTGTTTCCAATAGACCCTCGGCTTAGGAAGGGCAAGAAGAAGAAGAGGGAAGCAAGGAAGGAAAACAATATCCAATAATAGCAACACGGAATACAATACCTGAGGCGAACAAAATCACATACCGTAATAAAAATCAAAGACTATGAAGGGAAATGCATGCTATTAAGCCTATCGGTAAACACTATAGACTACATACTAACCTTCTACCTTAATCCTCGACCTCCACACCCTCCTATCAAGTATCATGTCCTCAGTGAGCTGAAGCAGCGCCATGTCCTGCCTAATCACTTCTCTCCAGTACTTCTTAGGCCTACCTCGACCCCTCCTCAAACTCTCCATGGCCAACCTCTCACACCTCCTGACAGGGGCATCAATGCTTCTTCTCCTAACATGTCCGAACCATCTCAGCCGCGCCTCCCGCATCTTGTCCTCCACGGAGGCTACTCCCTCTCTGTCCCGGATAGCTTCATTCCTAATTCTATCTCGCCTGGTACACCCACACATCCATCTCAACATCTTCATCTCTGCTACTCTCATCTTCTGCACGTAGGAGTTCTTGACTGGCCAACACTCAGCTTCATACAGCATAGCGGGTCGAACCACCACTTGATAAACCTTACCCTTAAGTCTTAACGGCACATTCTTATCACATAGAACACCGGAAGCGAGCCTCCACTTCATCCACCCCGCTCCGATGCGATGTGTGACATCTTCGTTAATCTCCCCGTTACCTTGGATAATAGACCCGAGATACTTAAAATTCGCTCTCTTGGAGATAACTTGAGCATCAAGCTTAACCTCTATGTCTGCATCATGGGTCTCACTGAATTTGCACTCCAAGTATTCTGACTTGGTTCTACTCAGTTTGAAACCTTTAGACTCCAAGGTCTGTCTCCAAACCTCCAACCTCGCATTAACTCTGCTACACGTCTCGTCTATCAACACTATATCACCAGCAAATAGCATGCACCAAGGCACCTCCCCTTGGATGTGACGCGGCAGTACATCCATCGCCAAGGCAAATAAAAATGGGCTAAGAGCCGATCCCTGGTGCAACCCCATCACCACAGGGAAATAGTCGGAGTCACCACCCACAGTCCTCACCCGAATCTTAACATCATCATACATATCCTTAATCACCCTAATGTACGCTACCGGAATGCTGCTAACCTCCAAACACCTCCACAGGACCTCCCTCGAAACTTTATCGTATGCCTTCTCAAGGTCAATAAACACCATATGTAAATCCTTCTTCCTTTCCTTGTACTGCTCCACTAATCTCCTTACCAGATGAATCGCTTCCGTAGTGAAATGCCCCGGCATGAATTCAAACTGATTCTCGGAAATAGACACGTACCTCCTCACCCTGGCCTCCACCACTCTCTCCCAAACCTTCATAGTGTGACTCAATAACTTGATACCTCTATAATTGTTACAATTTTGGATATCACCCTTGTTCTTGTAAAGCGGAACCATTGTATTCCACCTCCATTCTTCGGGCATCTTCTTTACCTTAAAAATAACATTAAACAGCCTAGTGAGCCACTCCAAACCTGTCCGCCCCGCGCTCTTCCAGAATTCCATCGGGATTTCGTCTGGCCCCGCTGCTCTTCCCCTGCACATCTTACGCATCGCTCCTTCCACCTCCTCTACTGTAATCCGCATACAGTACCCAAAATCCTGTTGACTCTCGGAGTGCTCCAACTCACCCAACACAATGCATCTATCCCCCTCCTCATTCAACAGTTTATGGAAGTATGTCTGCCATCTTCTCCTAATGAGTGCCTCGTCCATCAACACTTTACCATCCTCGTCCTTGATGCACTTGACTTAGTCCAAGTCACGGGCTTTCCTCTGCCTCACCTTGGCCAACCGATACAACCTCTTGTCCCCACCTTTGCCCTCGAGCTCCTCGTACAAATGAGCAAATGCTGCATTTTTAGTCGTCGTAACTGTTAACTTTGCCTCCTTCTTTGCCTTTATGTAACACTCCCGATAACTCCTTTTTTCCTCCTCGTTTGTACTCTCTACTAGCTTCAAATAAGCAGCTTTCTTAGCTTCTACTTTACCTTGAACCTCTCCATTCTACCACCAGTCCCCTTTATGACCCCCAGGAGAACCCTTCGTGACCCCTAAGACCTCTCTAGCAGCTACCCTAATGCAATCCGCAGTTATGGACCACATACTAGACGCGTCCCCCATACTCATCCAGGCTCTCATATCTAACAACTTCTCCCCTAACTCCTGAGCTTTGTCCTTGATCAAGTTACCTCACTTGATCTTAGGTTGACTGCACCCCGCCCTCTTCCTCCTACTCCTCTTGATCTCCAGGTCCATAATTAGGAGCCTATGCAGAGTAGTGAGGTGCTCACTCGGGATGACCTTGCAGTCAGTGCACAGACCTTTATCGCATTTCCTGCAGAGAAGGTTATCAATCTGAGTCTTGCCCATTGAATTTCGGAAAGTGACCAGGTGCTTTTCCCTCTTCGGGAAACTCGAGTTAGCTATAACCAAATCAAAAGCTCCAGCAAACTCCAACAGTGAATTACCTCCCTCTTTCCTATCCCCAAAACCGTACCCGCCATGCACATCATCATAACCCCTAGAACTAGCCCCAATATGACCATTGAAATCTCCGCCAATGAACAACTTCTCTGTGTGCGGGATACTACGCACCATCTCGTCCAAATCATCCCAAAATTTCTTCTTGACCTCCTGGTTCAAACCTACCTGAGGAGTGTATGCACTAATCACGTTTACAGTCCCACCAACTACCAACTTAATACTCATCAACCTATCATTTACCCTCCTAACCTCAACCACGAGCTCCCTAAGGTCCCTGTCTACTAGAATACCTACCCCATTCTTGCCCCCTGCGCTCCCTGAGTACCATAGTTTAAACCCGTCTACATTCCGTGCCCTGGTACCCTTCCATCTAGTCTCGTGAACACACGCTATGTTGATCTTCCTCCTCTGAAGAATCTTAGCTAACTCTATAGACTTCCCCGTCAACGTCCCAATGTTCCAAGACCCAATTCTCAACCTAGAGACTTTCTTACCCCCCTTCCACCCTTGGACCCACCCCAGCCCCCCTCTCCCCCCTCCCCCCTGAGGACATGACCTTACTCTTACATCGTTCACTACCGCCACTATAAGCAAAAGGTATTAGGTAAACACCACTAAGAAACAAAAACGGGAACGAAGGATTACAAGCTACGAACCCGAGAGCTAAAAACAACTCAAAGGAGAGACTACGAGAACAGAAACACGAGCAGGCACTAGAACAATGAATCTACCACGTCTACGAAACTACCCCTATGCAAACGCAGAACTAAAATGAATAGATGAAACCTTAAGCTTAAAACACTAATAGAAAAGATAGAAAAAACAATTAATCCAATCAAAATTGCCGGCAAGGCAACAGTAAATATATATGTGTAAATACAATTCAAGAAAGATGGAACCTGGATCACAGTCGGGAATGTCTGGACGCGCTTCCAAATTCGCTGGCTGCTGCTGCTCCGATGGATGCCGAAAAGTCTGGTGCTCCGGCGAACTTTCAATCGAAAAACCGATAAATCTCCAGAAGAAAGAACGAACTTTGCCGGAAAATCAATCCGTTCAACAACACTTCTTCAACTGCTAATAATAATTCCAACAACTCGGATTACAATTCTTTTAGCAACGACTTACGAGATTTATTACACCATCAAGTTGATTTAATACAACAAGTAATTCTGTATCGCAATATCTAATATACTAGTAACTTAAAAATAAAATCATAACTTGCTATAACCACTAAATTATCCTGACAATATAAAATTCTTTTACTGTCAGCAATCCATGGCTTAAATCCCTATTGATTACTACTACCTGTCATTAATTTAGCCTTTAAACGAACATTAAACTTGTGCTTTGCTCCTCAGAATGACCGAATCAGATAAGTCTTAAGAATTTTTTTTTCTCTTTTTCAAATTTTTAGTCTAGCCTTCAGGGCTCGTTTGGTACGAGGAATAAAGGATAATTAATTTTGGGATTAGTTATCCAGAGATTGTAGTATTTTTTTATTCCTATGGGAGGGTGGATAACTAATTCTAGAATAATTAATCCCGGAATAATTACTCATGGATAACTTGTTTCCCAACCAAACGCCTTTAATTCAGTGGTAAAAGCGCATATAAAATGTGTGAGATTAGGCATACACCACGAGTTTAATTCCTGTTATGAATTCAATAAAGGAGCTTGTTAATTATTTATATATTTTCGAACTGAATATTTCTCCATTATAATTTTTTTTTATCCTTGAAAATCCATTATCGAAAAATAAAAATATTATTAACTTACATTACGGCTCAAATAATGAAATGTTTACTTATTAGAAGAAAAAAAACTAAGTTCATTAAATATTTGTTGATATATACATTAGAGTAGCATTTAAATCACTAGCTGCTCGTGACCTTTTTTAACAGCAAAAGAAACATAGCATAGTTTAAAATTCAGCTAGCATATTGTACTACTCCAATTAATTTCAAAAATCTTCATCCAAGAAAAAAAAAAAGCATAAGATAACAATTCATCAAATTCAACCCAAAGTACAAAATAATCTATTAAAATATTTTATATGCTAGAATTGAATACTTTGTATAGGGACTACAGTTGAGAATTGTAGCTTATTAGAAGTTGTGACTTGTGACAAGCAATATAGGAAGTACAACTTAAAATTATTGTTTAGACAATTATATAAATATGAGAACTTTATCTTCTCTTATTTATTTATTTATTTATTTATTTATTATTATTTCTTTTTTTTGAATTTAAATTATTTGCACCGCCTCTGATCTTGTTAAAGGGGAAAACACTCCGTGTCAGTGGCGGAACCACTCTTTGCCAAGGGGTGTAATGGACACTCTTTCGCTAGAAATTTACACTGCGTAAATACGTAAAAGATATATTTTTACGTATACATTTACTATATTTTAACTTCTCTTATTTTTTTATTTTTTTTATATTTTGACCCTCTTGGTAAGATTTTTGGCTTTGCCATTTTTCCCTTTTAAAGATTTTTCGTTCTCATAGTTCGAACCAAAATTTCTGGATGGACAGTTGATAGAGAAGTTGTGACAAGAAACATGAAAGTACAACTTAAAAATATTATTGAAACAATTATATAAATATTTAGACATTTTCTTTCTGTTTTTTATCATTTTCTTTTTTATGTTCATACCTTGGACCACTATGTAATAAATTTTGCACTTGCCACCCACATTCCTTCTCTCCAATGATTGAAGGGAAGTTGGGATTGTCCCAACAAAAGATGATCATTTATCAACTTTACAAATTAAATGAACTGGGGTTTTGTTCCCTCGGTATTTCTTCACCTCATCATTGGAATTTATTGTTACCTTAATAATAATAATAATAATAATAATAATAACAGCACAGTAGAAAAATTACACTAAAACAAGAATTTCTCTATTACCTAGGTAAATTTGTACCTTGTTATTCAGTCTCAAGTTTAAATAATATGGCTTTTTTCACTTTTAGCGCGCGCCAGAAACTATTTACATCGATAACCGGAAAAATATATAAAATTTGTATAATTGTTGTATATAGCATTCACACACACACACACACACACACACACACACACATATATATATATATATATATATATATATATATATATATATATGCTTTACTGTATATCGACTATTATTTTGAGAGCGACTATACAATATCAGTTTTTCTAAATAATAATACACATATAAGTTATGACCATGTAAAATATCCTATTTGGAGCCATCAATTTCATTATTGGTTAACTTGAACTAACACATGGATACAAGGGATTTATAACTATTTTAGTCAAATAGTTCATCCTAATCTAGGCTGTTTCCACTTTATTTAAAACACAAGTTGAGCAAAGGGCAATTTGACAAACCACCAAATGCCAATATAAACTAATATTGAAATTATGTCAGCAGCTACTACGTTATGGGTTTGAGTTTATATATATTAGTACATATAACAAGAAGATATATGTTTAATTAGTTCTTTAATTATTTATGATTATGCTATTAAATAACTATCCACATGTATATTGATAGTTGGTAGTTAAAACGGAAAAGAGTCAAAACTGCACCCATACTATGCGAAATTGATAATTTTGCCCTCCGTTAAAAAGGTGTCTCGTTCTTACCCTTGCCGTTAACTAAGTGGATTGGTTTTATCCTTGTGGGCTAACGGTAGCAGTTAGAGCTGTCAAATTTGGTCCAAGCCCAAATGAACCTTCCAACCTGCCCAAAGTTGGGCTGGTTATTGACCCACCCATTTATTGAACTCAAGCCATCTTGATCCAATCCATCTCAACCCATTTAAAGTTGGGTTGATTTTTAGCCCAATTTGATCCATGAGTAACTTTGCCAAAATATCTTAGAAATAAATTTATTTTTTTTGTTTGATATAGTTATATATGACCATAACAAAAGAAAAAAAAGTCTTATTTAGTAATTATACAATTCAAAAGAAAATAACATATATTAACTAAAGATTGATAAGAGTTGGGCGGGTTGGGCTATGACCCAAATTTTAGCCCATCTTGACCAAACCCATCTTAGCCCAAGTAACTTTTGGGCGGGTCATTTGACCCGCCCAATTATTGATTCAACCCTTTAGACCCACCTAAAATCGCCCAACCCACCCATTTGATACCCCTAGTAGCATCTAAAGGTGAAGTATAGACTATCCGCAGAGTTCAATTGTTGACCATTTTTGTAGTTATAATAAAATATTGAATATGGTGCGGCTTAAGCTTACTGGGGACATGACCTAGAAGTGAGGGTATGAAGGTTGCGAATTAGGATAGAAGGTTAGTGGGTAGTAGGGCGTATTTCTATGTTGTACTAGTAGGTAGTAGTATTAGGCTTTATTTGTTTGCACTTATTGGAGGTCTGAATCTTAATCATTCAGATCTCAGACATTGAGGCGTTTGTTTTTAAAATTTGAATCTTAATTATTCAGATCTTAATCATTAAGTGTGTTTTTTTTACTTCACAACCACTTAATGAGTCTGAATAGGTCTGTATGATTAAGATCTATAACAGAGACTTAATTTCATTAAGATGCTATCACATATTCATTATTAACTGCCTCCACCGCCTACCATTATGAACTACCACCATGCCACCACCACCACCACCATGCTCAACCTCCACCACCACTACGCCACCATCATCCTCAATCATAGCCTCCACCATTATCGACCATCACCACCCACTATCCCCACCACTACGACCACCATTATTCTCACCCACAATCAACACTCATCCACCTCATCTACCATAACTGGCCAGCCCATCACTATCAACAGCCACAGACGGCACTGCCCATCATTATAACCTACCACCACCCATCCACCACCTTCCTCGGTCACAACTACTACCACAACCCGCCATTATTAACTATAACCAACCACCACCTGTTGGTATTACTGTGTTCAAAATCAGAAAAGTAAACAAACGTTAGTTCAATAAACAAACGTAAAATAATTCCGAGCCCATTGAATGCACAGTGTGTCCTTAAGGAATTTAATCCCCTCACTGTTGTCCAAGGTATACAGATTAATTCCTCCCAGGATAGAACGGAATAACAAATTTGTGATAGCGGCACTTCAAATCACAGAACTTCAGCGAACTCAACAAACGGAGCAAATCACACTTGACACTTATGTTTATTTAGAAAATAATTCATCTATGTAGAAAGAGGGGAGAAGATTTCAGATTTTACATGTCTGATTTTCATGTCTGAAAAATGAGGCCAAGCCTCTAAATTTATAGACAAAGGAAGGGTGATATGGAGAGGTGCAATCTAAAAGGTGCCTCTTCCATTTCCCATTCACACTCCTTAATAAAAATACAACAATCCCCCACATGAATGGGGAATGGTCATATGAGGAAAAACATGCATGAAAATACTGTGTGATTCACAAATAAGGATTAATCGTATCTGGATAATGTGACGACCCGATGTGTCGTCTCGTGAGTTATTGCCCCGTTCTTCCCATTTTCTGCTTCCTCATGTTTCATTATTGGTATTGGGTGCATTAGAATTTATTTGGAGCGATTTTGATAAGAAATGAGACATTTAGTCTCTTTTAAGAAGACTTAAGTTGGAAAAAGTCAACCGGATATTGACTTATGAGTTAGAGGCTCGGATGTGAATTCCGATGGTTCGGTTAGCTCCGAGAAGTGATTTGTGACTTAGGAGTGTGATCGGAAGTGATTTTGGAGGTCCGGTGTAGATTTAGGCTTGAATTGGCGAAGTTAGTATTTTGGCGATTTCCGGTTGATAGGTGATATTTTGATCCGGAAGTGGAATGAAATTCCGAGAGTTGCTGTAGCTTCATTAGGTGAATTTGGATGTGTGTGCAAAATGTCAGGTCATTCGGACGTGGTTTGGTCGGGTTTTTGATCGAATGCGTGTTTTGAAAAATTTAGAAGAACTTAGGCTTGGATTCGATGTAAATTGATGGTTTTGGTGGTTTTTGAAGTGTTTTGATAATTGGAACAAGTTTGGATGATGTTTTAGGATTTGTTGTTATTTTTGGTTGAGGTCCCGGGGGCCTCGGGTGAGTTTCGGGGTGGTTTCGGATCATTTTGGAGAAATTTGATATTGCTGGTTCTGGTGTAACACTGTAGCTTGGGAATTGCGAAGGATTTGCTGGGATGGGAATTGCGAAGGATTTGCTGGGAATTGCGAAAACACTGTAGCTTGGGAATTGCGAAGTATTTGCTGGGAATTGCGAAAACACTGCAACTTGGGAATTGCGAAGGATTTGCTGGGAATTGCGAAAACACTGTAGCTGGGGCAGAAATTTAAAAAACATTTCATCCGCGAGTTGGGGTTATTTTTCACCATTGTTAAGCGACCTTGGGAGTATTTGGCGAGCAATTAAGAGGGTTTTGACTGGGAATCGATTGGAGGTAAGTCCTATGGCCTAGAAACGTCATTTTTATTGTGATTTCAACACTTAAATTCATGGAAATTGGGTTAAAAAGGGAAGAACTAGGGCTTGGGTTTTTGAATGAGATTTTGGGATTTGAGGGAGCAAATGAGCTCCGATTATTGTGATTTTTACATGTATAGACTCGTGGCGAGATAAGGAACATTTTGGTGTAAAAATTTCTGACTTTTGAGAAGTGGGCCCGGGGCTCGGGTTTTGCCAACTTAGTGAATTTTGGTATTTTTCGAGTCTTTTCGATTGGGTTATGTTTCTTTAGCCTATTGTAATGTATTCGTTGTGGTTTTAATCAGATTCGGCGTGCGAAGAGGTTGATTCGAAAGGCAAAGGCATATCGAGCTAGACTTGTGGCCGGCTTGAGGTGAGTAATAGATGTAGATGATGACCTGAGGGTTTGAAACCCTGGTATATCACATTGTGACGCTATATTGAGGCGAGACACGTACTCATATGACGAGTGCGGGGTCGATTGTGACTGGGGATTGTGACCTAGTCCGTTCCGATTGATGTTCGTACTGTGTTCTTGACTAGAAGTTGCTTGGTAGTCATCCTACTTGGATTTTATGAATATGTTTGGGGATTTGTGCCTATCATGTGCATCATTCAGGGATCCTTATCACTGCTTCCATGATGCTTAGCATATTTCATGATATCAGTCCTGAGTTAGACACTGCCTCGAAATGTCTAGTAAATAAATAAAGGTTTAAACACTTAGCTCTATAATTCCTAATAATTGAAACTAAAAATGAACAATTTGACTGTGCCCGAGTGGCTTGCATGCATATATATATATGGACTGAGTATGGATCGGGTTGCACGCCGCAGCGAATGCTACGATGTTATTACGCTTGGGCTGTAGGAGCCCCTCCGGAGTCTAAACCCCCACACTGAGCGCGGGTACCCAAATGGATCGGGCTGCGCACCGCAGCGGTCATGTGCATTGCATTGCATTCATGCATTTATACCTATTTGTCTTACTTGTCCTGATATTATTGTTGTTCCACCGTTTTATGTGCTGAATCGCTGATCATAGCTTTATATTGTAATATTTCGGAATTTCTTACTTTCAGCCATTATATATGTTTATTACTCACTGAGTTGGAAGTACTCACTTTACTCCCTGCACCATGTGTGCAGATTCAGGTGCTCCGGAGACTTAGTGGAGCTGTTTGCTGTCTTCTTGGATTTTATCTTCAGGAGTTGTCGAGGTAGCTGCCTGACGTCCGCAGGACCCGACTCCTCCCCTTTATTTCATTTATTTCTTTCATATTCTAGACTTCTTTATCACTATGGATATATATTACTCTATTACATCTAGAGGCTCTAGACTCGTGACTCCAGATCTATTGGGGAATGTTTGGAATATTCGTTATTATTTTTCGTACTATTTTATTTAGATTCGGATTGGAACCTTGACATTGGCTATCTTAATCGTATTATTTGTTAACGGATTACGTATTTGGGTTGAGAGTATTTAATTGGTCGGGCTTGCCTAGCATCAGTATTGGGCGCCATCACGACCGGGATTGGGGTCGTGACAAGTTGGTATCAGAGCCTAGGTTACTAGGCCTCGCGAGTCATGAGCCGGTTTAGTAGAGTCTCGTGGAACGGTACGGGGACGCTTGTACTTCTCCTCGAGAGGCTGCAGAACCTTTAGGAAAACTTCCCATTCTTGGAATTCTTATCGTGCGTACTTGATTCAGCTTGAGATGTAACTCTTGAAATTCCTTCCACACGTCTGTATGTGCACGTGAGCGCCCAGTATTATATGTGCCTTGATGGTTGTGATTCCCGATCGAGGGTCGAGATGTAATCGTTC